GTCCCATTGTGCTCAGTTGTGCTTACTCCCTAGTAAGTGTGTTACTCCCTAATAAAGACAGCAGCCTCAGAAATGTAGGAAAACCAAGTCTATAGCTAAGGATTGAAATTACTCATCATTAACAACACAGAATGTCTCATGACCCCCCCTGAAACTGGTAAGCAGTTAAAAGTGAGAAACATTTTGAAACATTATCTGTGAGTTTGCATAAATCCCCCTTTATTTTCTGATGAAGTCTCTCTCTCTCTCTTTCTCTTTTCCCTTTGCTAGGAGTCTTATGAAACTGAAATGTCAAGTGAGGGTTGCTTTATATCGTGTTCTGTCAATCAAACAAGCGGAGGCTTTATGCATCTGTTGCTAGTATATTGGCACTTTTTGAAGAGTGTTTCGGTGGGAGTGAGAATAAATAAAGATCCTTCAGGCACTTTCTCATTTATGGATGAGGAATCAAAGCAGTCTGAAACTTCATTTTCAGCCTGATACCCTGAAGATTGTTGGCTGATAATTCTGGATGGAACAGCTTATCTGGGAGGATTAGGAAGAACATGGGCTTCCTATTACTGCTGGCTTCAGTCTATTCAGCCACACAGACTTTGTCACACAGTATCTGTGCCTTTACATATGTCACTAATCTTATCTATATCTTTTCAGCTCCTTCTGTTGGAGCTGTGCTTCCCTGGGCCTAAACCTCCCATTTCTTCATTACACTGGCTGTATAGGCATTAGCCTCCCCTTAACAGCCTTTTCTGTACCATGTCATTCAGAAAGGGCTAGTAATGCAAAGGCTGTAGCCTTCACAAGAAGGTAATGGGTGTGCTTTATCTCAGGTCCTGTAGGTCACACACTGGTATATTAAACACAAACTCCTGCTCCATCTTTTTCCGTTCTACTCCTCCAAAATCTTACCTTTAAAAAACACCACCACCACCACAATATGACCAAGTAAAATGAATTACTGAGCACCAAAGAAAAGCAGAGGTAATCTAGTTCAATTCAAGCACTCCAGCAAGATCCCCAACATTTATAAGCTTCTGACAGAGGTGGCAGGATCTCCTTCCTTGGAGGTTATTTAAAAAAAGAAAGAAAGGTAGAACAAATAACTACCAGAATCATTAGGATTATGACATTCCATCTTTGAACTGGTGACTAAGCTAGACCATGGTTTTCAAAGTTTCTTTCTACACTAACTTGCCTTCTGCGGAAGGCCTGTGCATTTGCCACAAACCCTTGTTCACTGCAAGGGATTCTGGGAAGAGTTCTAGGGAGCAGTAACTTTAGGGAGGGACCATAGCTCAGAGGTAGAACATTGTTTCAATTCCTCGCATCTCCAGTTAAAAAGGGGTAATGTAGCAGGTGGTAGGAAAGACCCTGAGGCACTACCAGCCTCAGTAGACAATACTGAACTAGACAGACAAATTGTTTGACCTGTCATAAGTCACCTTTCTATGTTTATTCTGGGCCTCATGATCACCCAGCACACTATCTCTGCCCTGCAACTGTACAGTGCAGATAATCAGTAGTCTTTCAGGAACTGTATCTAGTGGAAGCTTACCAACCATTAATGACCATCTCTCTGACAAAGCCCCAAGAGGTTTTTGAGGAGACCCTGCATCTATGGAACACGGTTTGAAGAAAAATAATCCTCTTTTCCAGTCCAAGTCTATAATGCCATGTTTAGTCAGGCTCACATCATGAGTTACATGATCAAATACTTGTCACCATTTCAGGCAGTGAAATGGGCTTGGTTGCCCCCATATGCATCTAAGCACAGAATTACATTGAGAAATTCAGTAGCATGAAGTAGCCCACTGATTATTAATACGGACATAAATAGCAGAATGATCTAGTTAAAGAGAATAGTCTATAACCATTCAGATTCTAGAGGAGCAGAAGTAGAGGGCAGAGGGTTGAGCAATGTAGGATTAATGTATTCAGTGCAAGCCAGTCCAACTGTGCTTATAACAGTAGCCTAGACACAGCCTTTCCGCAGCTGCTTTAGATACAGAAAACCTACATCTGCTTTTCTCCTTTTAAACTTAACTAGCAAAAGGCCACAAATCATGTTTCATACAACATTTGGCAACATTAAGCTGATGTAGACTTGTGTAACTGAACACAAAATCTTCTAAATAAAATACATGTATGGTTTCTGGAGAGCAGTACACCAAAGCATTTTTAAACTGCTTAATATTTTTTTAAATTTCTATGTGGTATACAAAAATACAACATAAAACTCAGTAAAACAGTATCATAAAACAGATAAAGACAGGAATTCAGCAATAACAGGGTCGAGTCTTATCAGTCATGGAAAGCCTGGGCTAAGGTATATCTTTACAAGGCATATGAAACACCTGGTGGATGATGCTTCATGTATAATAATAATAATAATAATAAATTTTATTTATATCCCGCCCTCCCCAGCCGAAGCCGGGCTCAGGGCGGCTAACAACAATAACATAATGATAGAGAGAAGGGCATTTCATAGTGCAGGGGCAATTTTGCATCAGTCCATCCTGGGTAGCATACCCAGTGGATATGCTAAACCTTGGCTACCTAGATTCTAGTCTCCCAGAATAGTTCTCTGGGGACTGTTAATAATAGATCAACCTCTGTTCTTCATCAGGTGACTCGGAGCATGGATAAAAGCGTCGATGCAAGGTCCAATCTGTTTGCCATGTGTCCAGCTGCCATATTGAAATCAAAAACCTTTTATCTCTGCTTCTTCTGGGCTGTCTTTTTGTTAGTAGTTGATTTTAATGCCATTTCCCTGTCTAACTTATATGAATCCAGATGTTCAGCCAATCCATCACTGGAATCCACTGAGTTCAAAAAGGAAATTATTGAAATACAGGAAGATTCGCAAGTTTGAATTATGCTCAAAATGTGCACTTCTTCTTTGAAGATGTTGCTGACTTTCAGTCTGGAGAAGCTGCAAAGGGTCAAGACAAAATGTTATGAGTACACTCTCAAGAACTTCCATAGCAACCAGAAATGCCAGTGTTACAAGACACAGTGCTAACCTAGGCATTGTGTGCCAAGAACAGCCTTTGTAGGCTCATATGTACCACGAGCATCACCTGGTTTCTCTGACATTGTGATATGACCGCAGTGTGCATATGCAGATATAGATTCCTTCCTCCATTTTATCCCACGACCTCATAGCAGGCCTGCTATTACTGTGTAAATATTAATGAAGAACAATGATCAGTTTTGCATCCTGAATATCTGTCAGATATTCCTCCTCCCAATTATTTGAAGCTCAGGTATTTGAAACTCCAATGTATATGAATTCATTGTGTGTGTCCTTTGTAACCCCTATTAGTGTACCACTATATAAATAGCATGCCCGATTATCTGAATATTTATCTGAATTCTTCAGAGGTTCCCCAGGCCAGTTGGATAAATGAGATTTCACTGTAACAGGGAATTCAATCATCTCTCTATACCGTTAATTCTAATCACTTTTCAAAAACAATCCTTCATGGTTTTACTGCCCTAGATTTCTTCTTCTTCTTATACCGCAGAGTTATTAGGGATCTGTATCATGTCTGTTCCCTCAAGGTTGAAACAATAAGCTTTATCTGAAACTGACAAATTTAATTTTTCTTCTTCATATGTGAATCCCTTGAATGTCATGGTGTGCTTGTCCTGCAATAATCAGCCCAGCCAGGGCTGTGTCATTTAACACAGACCCATATTTTATTCTTTGACAGGACCAAGCAACATGGAGTGCAAGCTCTATCCCAAAGCTGAAGGCTTGTTGCTGAATTATGTCATGGGGACAGACATGAAATACCATGCTTCTTTTGGTTTGTCCGAAGGACCTCCATGCTGGAAAAAACCTTGGGAAACAATTTGGTCCCATAATGGAAATGTTTCTTCATTCTCTGAAAGATTTAAAACATTCCAAAAGCATCTTCCCTGCAGGGATCTGAACCCTGGGACAGTCAGGGTTGCTCTCAAGGTCTATAAGAACAATAAATTACAGACAACCCTAGGGAATGCTATTTTCACTACGCCATTCCAGCTGATTTATTTCTTCTAAGCTTTTCCTTGCAAAAGATAATCAAAACATATTGGCATCGTGTTATATGGGTAAAGAACAAGTAGTTCTTTACCATTCATTCATCCTTATGGAAGATTCATAAAACATTCTACTGGCTAGAGCAGGATAACATGAGATGCAACAATACTGATTGATTGATATACTAGGTATTTTGAAATTCCACATTACCCCTCTTAATAGAGCACTCAAGGCAGCTGTGAATATAGTAAAAATCCAGTTGAAGGTATTACATTGATATCATAATACATTTTTAAAAAAACAAAAGAAAACCCACCACTAATCTGCAGATCAAAAAAAATAGAACTTGGAGACTAAAACCACCATAGAGGAATATGTGCCCTAACTAACTAACTAACTAACTAACTAACTAACTAACTAACTAACTAGCATTAGCAATGAAATTTAGCAATGGCACAGGTGAATTTTTAGTGTTCAGAACCATGTGTGCGCACACTGTTTCTCATTCAACTAGACCCAACTAGGGATTCAAACAAATGCTTCCATAACTGGATGAGGGAGTATATGTTCAGCATGCATGATACTGGTGAACACCATCTGGTGTACAAAGTAGCCCACACTGTGACATGCTATAGGCCTTGACTAATTCAAAGGTCTCATCACTACCAGGCGTGCCAGCTCTAGTCTAGGGGGCCAAGGTGTCTTCAGCCCCCTCAATATTTGTGGAAATGGGGCTGGGCCCTCTGAATGTTGAGGGGGCAGAAGAGGCTGAGTGTGCAACCAAGCACCCTGCAGCTTCAGTGGCTGGCTCCTCCTGAGCGCTCAGCCTCCTCCAGACAATGGGACATTGCGCATGTGCAGTGCACCTCAGGCCCCCTCAATCTTGGGGGCAACTTGTCCAATGTAACAATATCCCTAGCAGATAAGTATATGCACACACAAACCCAAAGGAAGGACAGAGAAGTAGAAGCATACAGGACACATCCAATATATTTCCCAAACTGCTTTTCTTAGGGCTCAGCTATACAGCTGCAAATAAAACATTTTAAGTGTGTTGTAAAGTGCAATATACAAATGTGACACTAGATGGTGGCAATGAGCTATGCAAAATTCAATGTATTTTTCAAAATGTTTTTTAAAAAAGCATTTTCACAGTGTTTTTTTTTATATGTGGGTAGATTCCACCTTGGTAATGTTTCCAAAATATATCCTGAAAATAATACCAAAGATCTGTTAGGATATAAAATGCCAATACAAGCAAGACCTGCAACAGTTTTGCAGTCAGTTGTATCTATTCTGATTTTTCATTCATGTTTTCCCCATTTGCATGCTTATTTATTTCTCCTAAGAATGTCCTTCAAAGAGCATTTGCTGTATATTTCTTTAATGGCAACTATGACTATACCCTTTTACACACTCCTCTAATCTATCATTAAGAAGACTGATTTACTGCATTTAGGAGAAGAGAGAAACACTTAGAGATAATGCATTTGAGTAAGAAAAATACTATAAAAAATTAAAATTAAGAACTTTGGTGCTGAAACAGAGAGCAAGACATTTGAGCTGGTGCAGGGGGGCAGATTAGGGATCTGACTGATAGCTCTCATAGGTATAGGAGATGATCACATGCAACTGATTGTACACCTATTTGTTTTTGCTGAATATTTGTAGTAGTATGTAAAGGTAAAGGGACCCCTGACCATTAGGTCCAGTTGTGGCTGACTCTGGGGTTGCGGTGCTCATCTTGCTTTATTGGCCGAGGGAGCCGGCGTACATCTTCCGGGTCATGTGTCGCTTTACTGGCCGAGGGAGCCGACATTTGTCTGCAGACAGTTTTTCCGGGTCATGTGGCCAGCATGACTAAGCCGCTTCTTGAGAAACCAGAGCAGCGCACGGAAATGCTGTTTACCTTCCCACCGGAGTGGTACCTATGTATCTACTTGCACTTTGATGTGCTTTCGAACTGCTAGGTTGGCAGGAGCAGGGACCGAGCAACAGGAGCTCACCCCGTTGCAGGGATTCGAACCGCCGACTTTCTGATCGCAAGCCCTAGGCTCTGTGGTTTAACCCACAGCGCCACCTGCATCCCTTTTGTAGTAGTATAAAGCAGCTTTAATACAGTTTCCCATATTTCTATGAACAGTTTCATGCTTCATCCTCCCTGAAATTGTTTTACGTACTTCACAGCCCTGGCTTTCTATTTCTGTCAACTACTTCATGTTTTCTACAACAAGTGAACATTCCACATGCTCACAGAACATTTGGAAGGAAAACATCTTTTTTTCTGAATGTGTATGTGCACATTATTGGCTTTGGGGGCCTGCAGTGTATACAACTCACAAGGCCTCAGTTTGAGCAAGTTGATCACATGGAGCTGTCCGTGATATTGCAGCCTGCCTTGCCCCTGTGGGTACCTGATAGGGACAGGTTAGAGCAATTTGGATCTGCAAGCCACATTCCTCCCTGCTCCACTGGAAGACATTTCCACAGATGGAAGCAAAGTGGCAACAGTGGTGTTATCCCACCAGCATACCCCTATCTCCACCAGTGGAGCAACAAAATTATGCCTCTTCCTGCTCCCCCTCAGGCAGCTTCCAGTGTTCATAAGCATCTGAACCAGTTGACCTTGCCATAGTGAAGGCTACTGCATTTTTGGATTAATTTTCTAAAACTATGGCACCATCTGTCAACTACCATCTCTTCCAGACATTCTACACAAGGCAAAATTTTGCAAAACGGAGAAAATGGAAATGAAGCACATCTTGTGGAATGGTGTTTCTAAAGTTTGGCCAGAGGGATGGCAGGTGGGATTAAACCCAGCGCACTACCATCTAGCTCTGAATACAGCAGGGCACTGCAGGGAAGCCAGGCCCTTCTATCAATGGTTTTATTTATGTATGTATTATTTTAATACATACAGAAAAGTGGAGCATTATCAAAATTAACGAAAACATGGCTAAGCCTCAGATCAATAAAACACTGGATGCTAAACAGTACAGTTAGATTTCTGCAAAACTGCAAGTCTGAAAATGAAGAGAAAGAAGAGCCCAACTTTTGCCATACTGCCTAAAGAAGAACAGGGTTGGGTCCTGGTGAATCTGGAAGGCAGTTCACAAAGGTAGCACCTGCTGCTTCAAGTAGACGTCCAACAAGCTTTATTAGGCAGTCAAGGACGCCTTCTGCCACTGCTAGGGAAGTGAATAGTGCTACATGGCCACTGCAGAAGCTCCCTCACTGCTCTACATAGCTAGGAGACCTGCTCTTGCTGCATAAAAGTTGTCACTTCCCTCCCCTTCTACCTTTGCTCACCCCACACTCAGCTGCACAGGGATGTGGATCTGACACATAAGAAAGTTTCCACAGCTGTTCACATAAGCACAGGTGAAACAGACCTGTACACATAAAGCTCACATGCCCAGCTGCATTCCTGTGTGTATTTTAGCATGAACAATAAGGACCAGGGGATTCCACCCCCCTCATCCTGCCCACACACAGCCACCCTGGGTGCCATGAAGCCACCTCTGCCGCCGATCAGCTCAGCCATAGATTTTTAGTTTTTTAGTTTTTTACATACACACATTCTGATTTTGAAAATACAAAGCTGATGTTCTGTAAACGTCTGTTTTGAGCAGTTTTTAGAATCATAGAATCATAGAGTTGGAAGAGACCACAAGGGCCATCGAGTCCAACCCCCTGCCAAGCAGGAAACACCATCAGACTCCACCACACTCCTGGGCAGCAAATTCCACTGTCAAACAGCTCTTACTGTCAGGAAGTTCTTCCTAATGTTTAGGTGGAATCTTCTTTCTTGTAGTTTGGATCCATTGCTCCGTGTCCGCTTCTCTGGAGCAGCAGAATACAACCTTTCTCCCTCCTCTATGTGACATCATTTGATATATTTGAACATGGCTATCATATCACCCCTTAACCTCCTCTTCTCCAGGCTAAACATGCCCAGCTCCCTTAGCCGTTCCTCACGAGGCATCGTTTCCAGGCCTTTGACCATTTTGGTTGCCCTCCTCTGGACACGTTCCAGTTTGTCAGTGTCCTTGTTGAACTGTGGTGCCCAGAACTGGACACAGTACTCCAGGTGAGGTCTGACCAGAGCAGAATACAGTGGCACTATTACTTCCCTTGATCTAGATGCTATACTCCCATTGATGCAGCCCAGAATTGCATTGGCTTTTTTAGCTGCCGCGTCACACTGTTGGCTCATGTCAAGTTTGTGGTCAACCAAGACTCCTAGATCCTTTTCACATGTACTGCTCTCAAGCCAGGTGTCACCCATCTTGTATTTGTGCCTCATTTTTTTGCCCAAGTGCAATACTTTACATTTCTCCCTGTTAAAATTCATCTTGTTTGTTTTGGCCCAGCTCTCTAATCTGTCAAGGTCGTTTTGAAGTGTGATCCTGTCCTCTGGGGTGTTAGCCACCCCTCCCAGTTTGGTGTCATCTGCAAATTTGATCAGGATGCCCTTGAGTCCATCATCCAAGTCGTTGATAAAGATGTTGAATAAGACCAGGCCCAAGACAGAACCCTGTGGCACCCCACTAGTCACTCTTCTCAGGATGAAGAGGAACCATTGATGAGCACCCTTTGGGTTCGGTCAGTCAGCCAGTTACAAATCCACTGAGTGGTAGCATAGTCAAGACCGCATTTTACCAGCTTCTTTACAAGAATATCATGGGGCACCTTGTCAAATGCCTTGCTGAAATCAAGGTAGGCTACATCCACTGCGTTCCCTTCATCTACCAGGCTTGTAATTCTGTCAAAAACGAGATCAGGTTAGTCTGACATGACTTATTTTTCAGAAATCCATGCTGACTATTGGTGATCACAGCATTCCTTTCTAGGTGCTCACAGACTGTTTGCTTAATGATCTGCTCCAGAATCTTCCCTGGTATTGATGTCAGACTGACTGGGCGGTAATTATTTGGGTCCTCTCTTTTCCCCTTTTTGAAAATAGGGACAACATTTGCCCTCCTCCAGTCTGCCGGGACTTTGCCTGTTCTCCAGGAATTCTCAAAGATGACTGCCAGTGGTTCTGAGATCACATCTGCCAGTTCTTTTAATACTCTTGGATGCAGTTCATCTGGCCCTGGAGACTTGAATACATCTAAACTAGCCAAGTATTCTTGTACTATCTCCTTAGTTATTCTGGGCTGTGTTTCCTCTGCTGAATCATTTGCTCCAAATTCTTCAGGTCAGGCATTGTTTTCTTTATTGGAGAAGACTGAGGCAAAGAAGGCATTGAGGAGTTCAGCCCTTTCTGTGTCCCCTGTTTGCATTTCACCATCTTCTCCTCTGAGTGACCCCACTGTTTCTTTGTTCTTCCTTTTGCTACGAACATACCCATAAAAGCCTTTTTGTTGCTTTTAACCTCTCTAGCAAGCCTGAGTTCATTCTGTGCTTTAGCTTTTCTGACTTTGTGTCTTCACGTGCTGGCTATTTGTTTGAATTCCTCTTTGGTGGTTTCCCCCCTTTCCATTTTTGTACACATCCTTTTTAATCTTAACTCAGTTAAAAGTTCTTTAGATAGCCACCCTGGCTTCTTTAGGCACCTTCCATGTTTCCATCTCATTGGTATTGCATGAAGTTGTGCTTTTACTATCTCCCTCTTAACAAACTCCCGGCCATCATGAACCTCCCTTAATGTTTGAAGTTTTATTCTGTTTTTAATGTTCTGTTGAAAGCCGCCCAGAGTGGCTGGGAAACCCAGCCAGATGGGCGGGGTAGAAATAATAAATATATTATTATTATTCAAATATATGCTTCCATTATTTTAAGCATTAGTGGTTCAAATGAGGTATTGCCTTATTTGCTCAGCTTTTCATATTGGGGCCCAAATGGCTGGTGTGATTGAATGTAAAGGCAAGATTAGGATTTGAATGAAGCTTTTACAATCATTTCGTGTACAAAGAATCAATGAATACTAAATGTCAGACATGGGAAATGAAGCAAATTGTGTCGTTTCCCCCACCCACCCCGCCAAATATCAGAATAAGCACCCTACTTGTAAGAAAGTCCAGTTATTCAAAGAGTCAAATGTTACTGTAATGTTGCTTCACCAAATCTTTGTGCATGAATTCTGCTTTATGAGATGGAAAAAAATACCTATAAAGATTATGCAAAAAGTGTGTGTGTGTGTGACATGACACATTTGCTTTCTGGAACTAGTTGTGACAATGAAAAAGCAAATATTTGATGAACACAGACAATATGTGAGTGCAATAAAACCTTGGCTGTGATTTTAAGATGTTCTTAAGTTTTGAATATTAGAATTAATTGAAAAGAGGCTGTTGAATCAGGTAGAGCTTAAAAGGAAAGCTAAAATAGTTCCTGGTGTACCACATTATTTCTGTTGCTGTTATCTCTACAGCTAAATGCTTGCAGTTATCCTTTCATTCATGTGGAAAATAGTTCTTAGGAAGTTGCAGGATAGACCCACTCCGGTGGCGAGAAATAAATATAGATCTTCCAAAAAGATTAGTCAGTGTTTTGCTCTCAAGCTTCAGTTGGCTAGGCAAGGATTTGGCTTGATCTGGAATTTGGTTTGTCAGATTCAGTCATCTGAGAGTTATAGAATTAAATGGTCTTATGATGTAGAAAGACAAGAACCATTATTCTTGCCTTTTCCCCAACAAACTCATGGAAAGCTTCCAATTCTCTCCGCTGGTTAGGACTTCACTTAAATGTAGTCCTAGATACACAATGCTTTACTTGCACCCACCCTGCTCCCATCCTCTTGCCTCTGCTCTGTGGGCAAACCTTCTGAGTTAGTAACCTCCAGAGCCAGTTGCTGTTGCACAATTCCCCAGAAAGCACACATATAACAGTAATCTGCCTGCCTCCCCTTCATTATAGATAGATTATGGTACTCTACCCTACATGGCTTCAGGTGGTGAAGGCTTCTTTTCTCTTATGTAGGTATTCCTTCAGTTCAGCTACATGACATTGATACACAGTCTAGATTTGGCTGACAGTACAAGGAGATGTTTGGACCAAAGCAGTCTTACCCAACCTGGTACCTACCAATTTTTAACAACAATATTTGTTAGTTCCAGTCAGTAGGGCCAATGATCAGGGGATTGTAGGCCCAAACATTTGGAGGACAGCAGGTTGTGGTGGGGTGGTATTCATCTAAGTTTTACTCAGAGTAGACCTGTTGAAATCAATGGACTTTAAAATCAGCTCTCTGCCATGCTCTGCCACACAGAGCCAGACCTACCATTCATTTTCCACGAGGGGCAGATGGAGGAAGGAACTGATGGCTGAAAAGCACAGTGAGATTTTTAAAAGTCTTGGCCCTGGCAGCCTGTGTTGGATCAGCACTAAAAAGGTAAAGGTACCCCTGACCGTTAGGTCCAGTCGCGGACGACTCTGGGGTTGCGGCGCTCATCTTGCTCTATAGGCCGAGGGAGCCAGCGTTTGTCTGCAGACAGCTTCTGGGTCATGTGGCCAGCATGACTAAGCCGCTTCTGGCAAACCAGAGCAGCACACAGAAACACTGTCTAACTTCCCGCCGGAGCAGTACTTATTTATCTACTTGCACTTTTCGAACTGCTAGGTGGGCAGGAGCAGGGACCGAGCAATGGGAGCTCACTCCGTCACAGGGATTCGAACTGCCGACCTTTTGATCGGCAAGCCCTAGGCTCTGTGGTTTAGACCACGGTGCCACCCGCGTCCCTTTGGATCAGCACTTGGTGATGGAAAATGGAATGCCTGACCTCATCCATAATCCATTACTACTACACTCATATTCTGCCAACCAAATGACACAATGTCAGGGTTTCATTGCAAAAAAAAAAAGGTCAGGAACCTCATGGATGCTTCTGAAAACGCTGTTTTCCTACCCATAAAGCTTGCCATAGATAGCTGTGTGAGTTACCTTAGGCAAGGAAAAGCTGTGTGACTTTTGTTGTTGTTGTTGTTGTTGTTGTTAAAGGTTTATGCAGACCTCACATGGTGCAAGTAGTTTACTAAGGCATCGCAGTGCAGGCTGTTAAGCAAAATCTGGGACTCTGGTGATAATGTGTATATTCGTTCAGTGTAAATGAGTAAGTTAAAAAAAAAACATGCAATGAATCATAGTTGCAAGGCCAGACTTGCTTTGATTAACTACACTTGTATAATGAAATCCAACAGAGCAATCACTGAAACATTTAGCTCCAAATGTAAATCTTCTTGAACTCAGGAGGGGGGGCATGTTAGGCAATGAGAGGTGGCATATAATAAAGCCATATTTCACTTAATGAAAGTGGAGGCAGTGGTAAAGAAAAGGGAATGTTTAAAAGTTGCTCTGCTGTGTTTGGCAAGCAAAAATGGGTTATTTTAAATGTGTCAATCATGATAATCCAACATATTTTTAATCTAAAGGTCAATAGAAGCAGTTTCTACAGCGGATACAGTAGTTATGCCAAATATGAAAGCAAGCATTTAGAAGATGATTTTGAGTATTAATACATCAACACAATATGTCTTGGAAAATTAATCTGAGCATTACATTGGAGAGCATAGATTTATCTAGGTAAGAGAATTTTATTAAAAATGTTCCAATATAACCTGTGACACTTTCGTTTCA